GTTGTTGAATAGGGATAGAGGGATTTTTCGCCCGATAGTAGGAGTTACGGAGGTATTTACAATAGCTCTCAAGGGCGTGTCAAGTCCGCGTTCCACCATCTGTTATGTTGTTTTTTTATTTGTTTGTTTTTTCTTAGTTTAAGAGTATTATACGCTGCTTCAATGAACGTATTCGAGAGTTATTTTACCGCGCTATCGACGTCTTTCCTAGTATTTGCTGTATCTAAAAAGTTTTCAATATTATTTTGATCTATTTTAATGAAATTCTGGGCAAAATTCGACCAGTTCGCCTTTTCTTCACTGAATTTCCATGTAGAATAATTAGTAGCTGTGGTGGAATTGTCAGTTATATCTACTTCATAGATTATTGCTACATGATCAGAGATCTGCGATATTTGTTCTGTGTGCCAGTCTCTGATAGCTGCTATTGCTTGTTTGTTAGTCAGCGTCAGATCAATCACACTAGCATTTCGACATGTAGTGGATTTATTATTATGTATGATTAAGTTCGTTTCGTCAATGATGGGGATAATATTGTATAGAATTCATTTTGTTTAATCTCCAATTTCTGGGGAGGAAAATGGAAATTAAATAAAAGTGAATTTTCACAATTAATAGCTTTATTAAACTCTAATAATTTACCTTTTTAAAGGAATATTAAAAGATGAATAAGTGTTGAATCAATTATTTTAATTTAACTGGCTGTAAAGATTATAAAATTTGGATTTCTTCCCTTAACTATCTTTTCTTTCTTCTTTGAATGTCTTGTTTTTCTACAACTTCAAAATAAACGGTCTAATTTTGTCCCCCCCCCACAACATGTGTCATCCAGAAATAGATGTTTACAGTTGAAGGCGACGCGGACAAGGTAGGTACACATTATATCTGTTCATATGAATGTTTCACTGAAGTAGCTTTGTATTAACACATAAAATCCGGTTGAAAGGAGGTCTATGACATAATAGAGAAGGGATGAAATGTCGCTGAATTTCTATTTGAGAATTCCCGGTTCAGCAGACCTCTTTTTTCAATAATTACTCCAATTTAAGTTTTTTGTATATGTCTGGTCTACCATTAGGGTTTCAAAACATAATAACCAAACTTATAACAAAAGTTAATTCATAGTATAGATATATTACTAAATACAACTATTTATATTCATATTTTAAAATAAAAAAAATTAAAAATTCATTTAAAAAAAAAAAGGATAAAATATAAAATTATAAAAATATATATATATATACTAACAATCTTATCTACCTTCTTTACAAAACTTTTTGTTTTCTTATTATTAGTTTGATTAAAAGTGCATGGTTCTGTCTTTCTCTTTTTTTTCTAACTATCATATATATTCTCACTTCTATTATTCTATATATAGGATTAGAGTATGTCTAAATGACGTGTAAAAGCCGATGCAAAAGACGTTACGTTGTTAAATTTTATTGTTATTAATTATAAATATATAATTAACTAGATGATGTTTTAGAAGTAAAGGATTTTTTTTTCTCTCTATCTATACTAAATAATAACAATTCACAATTTTTATAATTTGAATTTAAATAATCAAAATAATGAAGATAATTTTAATAGAATACTTAACTATAAAACTATACAACTATTTATTTTTATAATTAATTTAGATTTAGCTTGCTAATCTAACCAAATCTACTTGATATGATTTATCATTCTTATCAGTTTGCTCCTTAAGTTTTAAATGTAGAATCACTGTTATATTTTTATTATATAGTTTTTACACTATATTAATTCATATGAGCTTGCTCTATGATATATTTTTATATATAATATAATATACAAATTTAATTATATATTAGATATTCTAATATAAATAAAACTCCATACAGATTATAATTATCTTTTATTGTTTGATTATGAAAAAGTAAATTATAAAAGTAATTTTAGAAAAAATAACTTCAGAACTTTTGTTTTTTTCAATGTTTAGATAGTTTAAAGATGTTTTTTATTAGTTATTCTTAAAAATATAACAGATAACAAACAGTAATATCTATATTTTTATAGATTAATTATTCATTTTATTACAAATTTAATCACCACAAAAACAATTAAGATAAATATATTTTTAAAAAATTTCTCAATAGAATAACAAACTAAAAAACTAAAAAAAAACTACCAGCATATTAGGGTTAGCACCTCTTTTATGTTAATTTAAACTCGCTAAGAATTGCCTAAGAAAGAATTGTCAAACTTGTCCCTCTCTTAAGAACCATGACACATTTCAAACAACTAGTTGTAAATTAGTAAATACTATTTATAAATTAACATGCCAAATTTGTCAATTATCATATATAGGACAAACGTGTAATCCATTAAATATACGAATAAACCTACATAGAAACCACGCTAAAAAATCAATTGGTAATATATATATGAAAGAACACAATCAATTACATACTTTTAACAACTTTAAGATAGAAATACTAGACATATGTCAAAACAAAAAACAACGACTATTATTAGAAAACAACTACATTTATAAACACAACACATTATTCCCTTATGGACTTAATGACGAATTAAACTACACATACAAACCACAAACAGAAGAAATTTCAACTTATGAAATCAGCTGCAAATACAAAAAAATATGAATTTAAAACTAAACCTAATAAAACTAGAGGTAAAACTACCAATAAATTAGGTTACATTGAATTTGAAGAATTACTGGACTCAAAACAAATGTACACTAACAACTTCGTCGATAAATTTATTAAAACATTATTTAAACTAAATAATAATAAATTTATCAAACTTATAGAATATATTAAAATTCACAATCTGACTAACAGATTAATAGATATCACACACGACATCTTTAAATACAGAAAAATTAAACAATCTACTAATAACATTAATATTATCATTAAATTTAATAACAATTTATTTAATCATATTAAGTTTAATGATATTTTTAATAACCAAAACATTAATAATCTTTTCCCTATAAAAAATTTAAATTTCAAAACAATCTGGAGATACAACAAAAATATAGGTAATTTAGTTTGCAATTATAACCAATTTATTAATAATTTGGCAAATTTTAAAAAAATTAAATGTAATTGCAACAACTATATTGATAGATATAAGTTTTCAGGTCATATATTAACTAGCAATTTTTCTTTTTTAAATCCAGAATATCAGGATATTTTAAATAAAGGGTATAAATATATACCTCAAATTAAACACAATTATAATGATACAATTAAATCTATATTAAAAGATATAGATATTTTCATAAATAAAACTAGTATAAAATACAGTATTCCAGAATTTACTTTTCTGGAATGGAAACATAATATTAAAAAGGAAATTATAAATTATTATAATAATACACTTAAATACACAAAACCTAATTCAGATATTCCTTCTTTTAAAGAAAATATAATTAATTTACAGAAGGACTTTATTATCACTCCTATAGATAAATGTTCCAATAACTTATCTATAATTTGTAAAAATCTATACCACGATATACTAAAAAAGTAAATTGATAATAATCATAAATACACTTTTGCTAGAACTACAGCCACAAAAATCAAAAAAGACATCAAAAACGTTGAAAATTCACTAAAAATTTATAATCACTACAAAAATCCAAACATACCAAAGTTCTATATAATTCCTAAACTACACAAAAAACCTATTTCTTTCAGAACAATCACATCTGGTATAAATTCAGTTATAAAAAACATTGATATACAATTAGCTTCAACACTACAATTTATTATAAATAAATTAACTAATAAATATAATTATAAATTTATCGACTCAAATAAAAAAATCATTAACTATTTAATGAACAATTGGACAAACATGGAAACAGTACACACATTTGACTTTGAGGACCTATATTCTAAAATAAATTTAAGAGATCTAAATAATTAAATAACCAATTTATTTAATGAAATCATTAATGACAAAACTTTCCACATTAAAATTATTCATAACAGATATAAAACAATAAAATTAGATCTTAAAACAGCAAAAACTCTACTGGAAACATTTTTAAATTTTAACTATATAGAATTTAAAAATAAAATATATATTCAATCAGAAGGCGTTCCCATGGGAACATCTTCAAGTCCGTTATTAGCAAACTTAATATTATTCTGGTACGAAAGAGAATACTTTCTACAAAATAATGTTAACTGGCAAATGTTCCGTTATGTAGATGACATCATAATATTTAATAATCCACAGTTCAAAAATTTAATACCTAAAATTTATCCTAAATACTGAAACTTAAGAACAATGAAAAAATTTATAGAAACAAAAAAGTTAACTTTTTAGACCTAAATATAGACCTTACAAATAATGCTATTAAAATTTATAATAAAAAAGTAATTATAATTTCAATATTATAAAATACTGTAATATGAATTCTAATATTTCATTAAATTGTTGTAAAGGTATATATTTTGGTCAGTTTCTAAGATTTTATAGAATAAATAATATATTAGAAAATTTCATAGAAGATGTTAAAAATTTAAACATGGAATTTATTAAAAACAAATTTAGTATCAGACAAGTAAAATATTTCAACAGTATATCAATTATAAAATACTTTAAAAAAAATGGAAGTATCCATTTATTAAATCAACTTTCTATAATTTCTTTCAATAATAGCTACTACAAATTTATAATCTTTAACAATTAGTTAAACTTAAATTAAATAGCTGATTTGAAGATTTTTTCACAAGATTTTTAAAGTAATATTGTATAGAATTCATTTTGTTTAATCTCCAATTTCTGGGGAGGAAAATGGAAATTAAATAAAAGTGAATTTTCACAATTAATAGCTTTATTAAACTCTAATAATTTGCCTTTTTAAAGGAATATTGAAAGATGAATAAGTGTTGAATCAATTATTTTAATTTAACTGGCTGTAAAGATTATAAAATTTGGATTTCTTCCCTTAACTATCTTTTCTTTCTTCTTTGAATGTCTTGTTTTTCTACAACTTCAAAATAAACGGTCTAATTTTGTCCCCCCCCCCCACAACATGTGTCATCCAGAAATAGATGTTTACAGTTGAAGGCGACGCGGACAAGGTAGGTACACATTATATCTGTTCATATGAATGTTTCACTGAAGTAGCTTTGTATTAACACAAAAAACCGGTTGAAAGGAGGTCTATGACATAATAGAGAAGGGATGAAATGTCGCTGAATTTCTATTTGAGAATTCCCGGTTCAGCAGACCTCTTTTTTCAATAATTACTCCAATTTAAGTTTTTTGTATATGTCTGGTCTACCATTAGGGTTTCAAAACATAATAACCAAACTTATAACAAAAGTTAATTCATAGTATAGATATATTACTAAATACAACTATTTATATTCATATTTTAAAATAAAAAAATTTAAAAAATCATTTAAAAAAAAAGGATAAAATATAAAATTATAAAAATATATATATATATACTAACAATCTTATCTACCTTCTTTACAAAACTTTTTGTTTTCTTATTATTAGTTTGATTAAAAGTGCATGGTTCTGTCTTTCTCTCTTTTTTTCTAACTATCATATATATTCTCACTTCTATTATTCTATATATAGGATTAGAGTATGTCTAAATGACGTGTAAAAGCCGATGCAAAAAACGTTACGTTGTTAAATTTTATTGTTATTAATTATAAATATATAATTAACTAGATGATGTTTTAGAAGTAAAGGAATTTTTTTTTCTCTCTATCTATACTAAATAATAACAATTCACAAATTTTATAATTTGAATTTAAATAATCAAAATAATGAAGATAATTTTAATAGAATACTTAACTATAAAACTATACAACTATTTATTTATATATATATATATATATATATATATATATATATATATATATATATTTGAAAAAAGGCACCTCCTTATCGTGCAACTGAAAGTTGCTGATAGCTTGCGCCATCTATCGGAATAAATATCAACTATTCTCGTTGATTTTTATTATTCCAGAATTGGCCAAATACCCATTCTTGATTAATCAAGAAAAGCTAACCACGAACGTGTTTCGGGCTGTTGGCCCTCATCAGCGTGGTGCAAGCTGTACCTCCACGACCAAAGAATTGGTCATTAAGGCATCCTGAAAAATCTTTAAAAGGGTAGTTAAAGCCAGAAATGCGTGAGAACGCTACACAATGTGGAATAATAAAATCAACGAGAATAGTTGATATTTATTCCGATAGATGGCGCAAGCCATCAGCAACTTCCAGTTGCACGATAAGGAGATGCATTTTTCTTAATTTATGCACCTTATCCCAGTACAATATTACATTTGTACTATTTTTTCACACATATATATATATATATACTAGCGAACCCGGCCACGCGTTGCTGTGGCTAAGTTGTAATATGTCAAATTAATATTATACTAAACTATTCAGTACAGTAAGGTTAATATTCACTTATAAAGATAAAAATGTTTTAGCCGATCTAAAGCCCTATGGGATTGAGAATGGAACGTTACGTTAAAATTTAAAAGTGATTTTTATATATATTGATAATATAGCCCTTTATTGTAATTATTGATTATATTCACTGCATTAATAAATGTCAGAGAACCTGTTTTTTTTATTTTTGAATTAAATGAGCTAGCCGAACCCGGGCAGACGTTGCCCTGCCTCTACGCACCTCTCTATATATAAAAATGGATGCCTGTATGTGTTTGTAATCAAGAATCTAGTATGTGCTGGGGAAAAATTAAAGATGAGTCATAAAGAATTGATGAAAAAATATATCGATTTTATTAATAGCAATATTTGAAAGAATATTGTATCATATGAAAACTAATCTATCGTAACGCGAGTGGATACACAATATTTTTGGTCCTCTCGTTTGGTGCGTAGATATATAGATTTTTTGGCGTTCCAATTCGGGAGCAAGCGACGTAGAGTTGACCATGTGAAAAACATGGATTTCCTAAATGCAAACCGTCAACTCGCAGCGACTGTCCTTGGGATTTGTTGATTGTCATTGCGAAAGCGAGACGCACGGGAAACTGAAGTCGCTTGAATGTGAAGGGCAAATCAGTGGGGATCATTGGAATGCCCGGAATGAGCACATCCTCTCCTTCACATTTGCCACTGATTATCGTCGTTTCAATCACATTCGGCATCAACCTTTTTACGGAAAGTCTGGTTCCGTTGCACAACTTGGGTGTGTTGAGATTCCGAAGAAGCAATATTGGCGAGCCAACTTTCAACGACAATACATGTGGTGGCATTCCAGGAGGCTCCAATGAATTGAGAAAGTCGACTGGATAATTGACAGCTTGGTCCTCTTCTGTGACTGTGTCAATAGATTTGTATTGCGTGACCGCTCCAGGAATTTTCAATAGTATCTTATGATTGATGCGATTGACGTCATCATTCTTCGGAGCTAAGATAGCTCGCTCGCAAAGCCAGTCGTGATTCTTGAAATTAGTGGCAATATCCGGGAAAACTACCTTTTCAAGATCTCCAATTGACGCCTGAAGTTGACCGAAGTTCGGTGGGAACGATATCTCGTGTGTTGCAGGATCAACCGGAATTTTTCTGTCGCCCATATTCAAAAGCTGCTTGGCAAATGTTTGCGCAGAAACATCTCCATGTAAATACACACGCATATTGGTCGACAGTGTAATTTTCTTCAAATGTCTCCAGAGAGCCGAATTCTTCAAGCATGCGTTCAGCTCTTCTGCTGGTGTTGCTCTTGGAATGACAGGCAAGATTTGACGGAAATCACCAGCGAGCAGTATCAGAGCTCCACCCATTAGGCGTTGATTGCCTCGGAAATCGCGAAGAGTACGATCAAGTGCCTCAAGCGCTTTCTTGTGAGCCATCGTACATTCATCCCAAATGATGATTTGGCACGTTTTCAACACAGTGGCCATTCCTGATGTTTTTCCGATGTTGCAGAGAGGAACGTCGGCTATATTCAAATTCAATGGCAGCTTGAATGCCGAATGCGCCGTACGTCCTCCATCGAGCAGTGTTGCCGCAATTCCCGACGATGCCACAGCCAGAGCAATCTCATGTTTCATACGAATTTCGGCGAGAATCAAATTGAGCAAAAATGTTTTCCCAGTTCCGCCTGAGGCATCAAGGAACAGAAGACCACCATTTCCGGTTCGCACATGCTCCGTGACTGTGTTGTACGCAAGGTTTTGTTCGTTTGTTAAGAGTCTTTTCTGAGTCTCAACATAAACTTGCAGCGTTTCAGCGTCGTATTGCATTTCTCGCAACATATCTCTGTCGACAGCATCATTTCTGCCACGCTCGGGTGAGATCAAGCCAAGCTGATTGAGGATTTTGTTGTTGATCGACAAACATATATCCTCAAGTGATATCAGCGCTTCATTGAAAATTTCATCCGAATTCTGCGCATTGGGATTTGCACTACGTACACGGCGAAGTATGTCTTCGCTCATACTCTCTTTATGCTTCTCCCATAGGCCTTTTGGGTCTGAAGGCGAGCAGGTGGTCAAAATGATAGCAAACAGAGTTCGTATTTGCTTAGGATGAAATGTTCCAGATGCTTCTGCCAGTGTGTTGTCCCAATGCTGATCATTTTCAAGCAGACCAAGCTTGAAGCATGCCTCTCTATATGTCTGACAGATTTGGCCGTTGACGGTTTTGATAGCTTCGAACGATTGCGGGCCTTTGACTACATGAAGCAGCATTCGCAAATAGTAGCATTCAGCATTGCTCGGATGGACAGTATACACTCGCCCCAATGCGCCAGTGAAAAACACCTGAACCATTGAAGAGTGCAGCATGCCTTTTTTTCTCCGTTGCCACTTCTTCGTTGACTGATTCCATGTGTAATACGTCGGAACCTGATGATACAGCAATGTCGCAGCGAATGTGTCACTGGCACACAATTGAAAAAATGCAGTCAACGTTGTATTGGGTGGATTTTCAGCTCGCTGGGCCGCGCTCTCTTCTGTGAAGTATACTCGTTGACCATTTTCCAAATGCACACTGAGATGGACGACAGCAGGAGAGCGTTCGTGGATGTCAAAGCCAAGGATTCGCCATACAGCTTCATTGCTGCTGATATAACGTCCCATTTGAAACTGGTCGATTTCATTGACGGGTGCATTTGGATTTTGAAGTCCAAAAACTGCCATATCACTGCCCTTATTCACGTATTTACAAATGTATTTGATCGATTTGACAGAATTGCAAAACTCCACGTTGATATGCGCATCAAATGCTTTCGAGAGCAAAGGAGAGTAAGGCACAATCCACCGGTTATCAACCACAAAATCAACGTGATTGAGTTTGATTGTTGCTGTGTGGCCACCATCCTCTGGTTTTCGTCGTCTGTACAGAGGATAACCGTCGCCACCAGTTTGTGTGTCATGCACCAGGTCTCTTGGATACTTTTTGGTGCATTTGCCATCCTTTATGCACGGTGAATGTGGGTTTTGCGCTCCACACGGTCCGTGAATCATATATTTCTTGATAATCTGGTACAATTCAGGATCTTCTTGTGGATCAGGCAGCTCAGCAGAAATGATATTATCGATTTGAGTTGGAAGAATCTTTTCCTCCAACCAAATCAAGATGTGAGCATGTGGAGTGCCTCTTTTTTGCCATTCGATGGAATACATCCAGCAGCGTGTTGGACCGTATATATGGTTCTTAACGATGAGATCAATAAAACATTTCAATTTCTGTTTGAAAACTCTCGCTATGAGGTCATGCCGATGAGATGACTGTTGGCCAGGCAGAAGTAGAATTTTGATTTCGGCCCATGCTGGATTGCAAGTGAATGTGAGGAAAAGATATGGACGTCCATATGTGCGAACATAGGTCATAGCATCCTGAGCATATTCATGCATATGTCTCGGACTTCCAGCGTACGAAGCTGGAAGTATGACCATTTGCCCAATGTTTGCAGCAGCAGCGGCTCCATCATTCGCGATTGCATCCCGCAAATGAATGTATTGGTCAGCTCGAAGCTTTGACTGATTGAAGCGAATGTAGTTGAGACGTTCGCTTTCGACTTTGGCATACATGTCAACGATGAATTGTTGGAAAAGTTGACGACACCTCAGGATGTGGTTGGATTCTTGGGCTCGAATCATGATGCGATATGCATAGAAGTCCATACAGCTGACTTTTTTCATTGTCACGGCGCCTGAGATAGGATGAACTTGATACAGTTCGAGATGATATCCGTCTTCACCGCGCGGAAAAATAATTGTATATTGAAGGGCGTCGTACGATCGGTGCGTTTAAGCAACACGTTGCTTGGTTCCATCTCGTCTGCAGATAACAATATCTCGTCGGGCGATCTCTGTACCGACAATCACAGCTGCTACCTCAGGAGCCATCGGAGCATTGAAGCGTCGTTCATGCTCATTCGTCGGCGTCTTGTCTGCCCTGATGATGACTTTCATATCATCCGCTCGCACATTCTCTACTGCGGATTTGAAGTCTCGGACCAAACAGTTGTGATCGTGGAATAGCGTTTGTAATTCAGCGAGGATTGCCCGCCTTGTTGCTTCACTGAATGCGCATCGTCGATCAATCTCCTCCTCCACGTTGTCCATGAAATAAATCTGCAAAAACCTCGGATCTTCATTGGATACTGGAAGAAGTGAACCAATCTGATGGTACACTTGCCCTTGCACTTTGAATGTGGGCTCGAAATTTCCAAAACGCTCAATATGCGTCGCTCCAAACGATGTCATTTGGAAGCATGAGTTGCACTTCCCAATATGCTGAAGGAAATGTTTCGACTCCCGAGTTGCTCCAGCTACGTATGTTAGAAGTGGCTGTGGCGGCTCAACCATCGGAGGCAAATTGACTTTCCCATTGGAGCAACACATCCCGGGCGTTTCCCTCTGAAACTTCAATGCATGACAGTGTAGACACAATTTATCCATTGGACCAATGACCAGATCTTGATGCATTTTGTAATCGTATTGTTTATCGTAGTTGAACGCAGCTTTTTTTAGAGCGATCCTCGTTCGTGATCGAGCCTGGCGTGAGCGTTGTGCCTCATGTCGTGCATCTCGCTCTTCGGGTGTTTCAGCAGCCCTTGAAGTAGACGCTCTGATTCGTTCGATTTCCCGTCGTGTGTCTCGCTGTTCGGGTGTTGCAGCAGCTCTTGAAGTAGACGCTCTGACTCGATCAATTTCCATTCGTGTGTGTCTCGCTGTTCGGGTGTTGCAGCAGCCCTTGAAGTAGACGCTCTGATGCGTTCGATTTCTCGTCGTGTGACTAGCTGTTCGGGTGTTGCAGCAGCTCTTGAAGTAGACGCTCTGATTCGTTCGATTTCCCGTCGTGTGTCTCGCTGTTCGGGTGTTGCAGCAGCTCTTGAAGTAGACGCTCTGACTCGATCGATTTCCCGTCGTGTGTCTCGCTGTTCGGGTGTTGCAGCAGCTCTTGAAGTAGACGCTCTGACTCGATCAATTTCCCGTCGTGTGTCCCGCTGTTCGGGTGTTGCAGCAGCTCTTGAAGTAGACGCTCTGACTCGATCAATTTCCCGTCGTGTGTCCCGCTGTTCGGGTGTTGCAGCAGCTCTTGAAGTAGACGCTCTGACTCGATCAATATCCCGTTGTGTGTCCCGCTGTTCGGGTGTTGCAGCAGCTCTTGAAGTAGACGCTCTGACTCGATCAATTTCCCGTCGTGTGTCTCGCTGTTCGGGTGTTGCAGCAGCTCTTGAAGTAGACGCTCTGACTCGATCAATTTCCCGTCGTGTGTCTCGCTGTTCGGGTGTTGCAGCAGCTCTTGAAGTAGACGCTCTGACTCGAATTTCCCGTCGTGTGTCTCGCTGTTCGGGTGTTGCAGCAGCTCTTGAAGTAGACGCTCTGACTCGATCAATTTCCCGCCGTGTGTCTCGCTCTTCGGGTGTTGCAGCAGCTCTACTGGCTGACACTTGCCGCGCATTTCTGGTTGATCTTCCAAGGTTGTTCTTTTTTCGTGGCATTTCAAAAACGTCTTACAAATTAACGTTTGGTGACAAATGAGTCGTCCGAAGATAGAAGGCAATGACCTACAACGGAACAAAAATACATATTTTTACTATTCTATTCACATCTAGTGTAAGGGCGAGTAGATTAACAATATTTTCGGTTTGGTAATTTGGTATCTTAATGTAAAGAGGTCAAGAGGTGAACACAATTCCAATGTAAGTCACTGCATTAATAAATGTCAGCGAACTTGTTTATATGTACTGTTTTTTTGTTTTTGAGATATTCTAATAGAACGTTCTCACAATTTGTGTAAAATATTTATATATGCACAAACACCTAATTTAAAAATATGTCTTAAAAGCTGCTATAATAATTGTTATAAATATTATTTTAAAATAAATCGCCAGAAATTGCCCGGGTAGTATACTAAACAACTTCCCAAAGTTTCATGATTATTGATTATAATCACTGCATTAATAAATGTTAGTGAACTTGTTTATATGTATTGTTTTTTTGTTTTTGAGATATTCTAATAGAACGTTCTTATACAGCTTAGTGCCGTATATCTATTATAAGAGCTTTAGAGAGTAGATAAGTAACTATATAGTAGATGGACTTGCCTTCAATGCCGCTCCAGGTAGGTTCCTCCTCGGTTAATCCACACAGTCCCGGAGCCCACCTCCTCTAGCCAACTTGCCGCGTTTGTCGTCACCGCCCTTCTTTCTCACTCCCCCGCTTCCTCCCACATTGGAATGTCCGCGTTTGTCGTCACCGCCCTTCTCTCTCACTCCCCCGCTTCCGCCCACATTGGAATGTCGTCTGGACTTTGTCTACCCCCAGACACGCGGGCCATCCTCCCGCAGTTGGAATTCATCCACCTTTCCACAACTTCACCCTGGGACCTCTGCCTCTCTGATATCTTTATTGCTTTTATTGATTAATGCTTTTCGTCCCGAAAATAATTTAGAATATGTATTACCTGTCCACAGCTTTTTTTTAAAGATGAGAAATGTACGCGAAATTAAATTTAGAATATTAATATAATCTAGCCCTTATTGTTTATGTTAATTTTTATTTTAAAAGGCCTACATTTTAAATAAAATAAATTTTTAATAATTTGCTACAATAATATAAAAGAAATGAAAATATAAAAAAACACCCACGCTGAGCCTCGAACCTAGGTTTGTTACAAATATTATTTTAAAAAAATTTTATGTTAATTTTTATTTTAAAAAGCCTACATTTTAAATAAAATAATATTTTTAATAATTTGCTACAATAATATAAAAGAAATGAAAAAAAAAAACACCCACGCTGAGCCTCGAACCTAGGTTGCGGGGGTACGAAGCTGTGTACCTAACCTATAGGCTAAGCTTGACGCTACAAATAAGCTCATGCGAGGCTATTTTAGGCCATACATCGGCCGCGAGGGGGCGCTGATTGCGAGTGAATCTACGTTTTATTGTAAATAAATATGTAACGAAAGGTTATTTCTAAAGAGTAATTAGCCAGAAACCATCCCGGTAGTATACTTAACATCTTCCAAAAGTTTCATCACGATTGGTTGAGCGATGTAGAAGATTATCACTGACGAATGGACGGACGGACCAACGGCCGGACCAACGGACCAACAAACATCCATTTTTATATATATAGATATATATATAAATATATTAATAGTAATTTTTTTATATTTGGATTAGAGGAAAAGTAAACTATTAAGAACAACAGATTTTGAATTAATTTTGCGTCAGAACAGCAAGCTAATTCTGTATCAAATAGTATAGTTATGAAAAATTTTAAGATTAATAATTTTTTTATTTAATTTAAATGTGTGAGGTTTGTTTTTTATTATTTTTTTTGGTAATAAATAATTAGTTAGATTATATTTTTAAAAAGAGAAAAAAAAGTAACACCCGCAGAGCATCGGCAGTTACGCGTCATAGGCTGGGTGAAAAAAAGGAATAAGCGAAGAGAAAGTTTTAAAGAGAAGAGCAAAGACAGAACCATGATAATAATTTTCAAAATATAAAATAAAGCTAATTAGAGAGAGAGAAGTATTTTTTTTTTGCTATATTTTTTCTCTCTTGATGAGAGAAGATAGATTTTTGTTATTATTATTTTTTTTTTTGAATTTTTTTATATAAGCTTATTTTAAAGAAAATCTAGTGTAAATGTGGAGGACACGATATAAGAAAATATATTAACTTAGGAGGGATGAAAACCTTAAGGTTTAGACCAGTTGAAAACCATAAAGGTTAGACCAGATGGAAAGAGGATGGTACTCAGGTGGGCCTCTTCAGATGAAGACCTGAGCAGCAGTTTCGGCCCTTACTCCATTACTGCCAAACCATGTCTCTTCGACCAAATAGAAAGCAAATTTAGGTTGAAACGGAGATAGGGTAATAGCTGAGCCTTAGATACTACAAAAATCAACTAATGAACTAAGACATTGTCATCTTCTGCACTTTCAAACCTAGCTCAAAAAATGTTTTTTTTTTCAGTTCAGAAGTTAAATTTATTCGGTTTCCTAGACTTAATCAGATTGATACATACTTATCCCTTAGTGCTAAACTTTAAATCAAATTGTGTTTATTCTTTTTGGGTATAAGGACTGTAAGAGACTGATAAGAATTTAGTAATACAGTTAAATGATTATTATAAACTAGACGAATGGCCCGGGCAACGCCCGGGTTTTACCCGAGTGCGAATATATTTTAAAAACGTTGTCTTGGGTGGTCGCTATAGACAGGGTGGTCTGTATAGACAGGTGTATGTATCACACAGCTGATAACAGGGTTGTCTAGATGTCCGCTATAGACAGGGTGGTCTGTATAGACAGGTGTATGTATCACACTGCTGATAACAGGGTTGCCTAAAGTGACCGCTATAGACAGGGTGGTCTGTATCGACAGGTGAATGTAACACACTGATGATAACAGGTTTGCCTAAAGTGACCGCTATAGACAGGGTGAACTGTATAGACAGGTGGATGTATCACACAGCTGATAACAGGGTTGTCTAGAGTGGCCGCTATAGACAGGTGTATGTATCACACAGCTGATAACAGGGTTATCTAGAATTGCCGCTATATACAGGGTGGTCTGTAAAGACAGGTGGATGTATCACACAGCTGATAACAGGGTTGTCTAGAGTGGTCGCTATAGGCAGGGTGGTCAGTGGTCGCTATAGACAGGGTGGTCTGTATAGACAGGTGGATGTAACACACTGCTGATAACAGGGTTGTCTAGAATTGCCGCTATAGACAGGTGTGTGTATCACACAGCTGATAACAGGGTTGTCTAGAGGGAGGCAGGGAGGACACGTGTTCGCCGGCAGCCAATGGGCGCGCATTCTATCCGTGAGCTTCAGACAGAATAAGGCAATTATATATATAGATATAGGAAAAATGATCATATCCCAAACCTTTAACAATTAGCGTCGACAAGGGAACAGGAAATCTAACATTAAAGAACATAGAAATATAAACTTTGTCTGATGTTGGTAGGTTCAGATTATAGTCCAAATTGTGTTCATACACTCTAAATAATAGGACTGCAGGAAAATAATAAGATATTAGTAGTACGAGAGGATAAGGATTAATTGGAACTACAAGAAAGTACGATTAAATTCAAACGAGTTAAGAATGTGCGTCATACCATAAATGGAAAAATCAGCTTCATCAGACAAATACTTAAGTCCCTTGTCTGAAGATGGTGAAAATGCTATCCCATAATAACTCACATTATCAATTTATTTGAACTGGTCCTAACGGAACCGTATATTCTATATATAGTCCTATCTATACTTTTTTTTTTAAATATAATATATGAGGACCATTACCTGTTATTTCTGCTAAAAAAGGAAGTTTAGGAATTTAAGTTTTAATGCTTCATATCAATTAGATTGAATGTTCATTCTCTATTCCCCCTTTTATAAATATTGAACATGCATAGATAATTGTTATGTATGCTATAAGAAGAGAAAAAAAAGATTCTAAAGTTATCGTATAAATTTGAAGGATCAAACAAAGTAAGAATTAGAGAAAACTAAGAAATAAAGGTATGGTATTGGTAAACAAAGGTAAAAAGAACAAATCCAAACAAATAAACAATGTGCGACGTTTCGGCATCAGCGTCGTTACAATCTTCAGACAAGTCTGAAGAGGGCCACAACCGCGCTACCGAAATGCCACACACCACTCATTCACTCGGACCCGGTCCTGTTACCTTGTGTTTATAATCTATAATCCAAATTGTGCTTTATCAGTATGGTATTGGTGTTTCAGAATATTGAATATAATAGTTTCTATTAGTGTAGTTGGAATTTTTTTTTTATTAATTCAAAATCTTAATTATTATTTGTTCTAAGTCAAATTAAAAGGGGTGAATAAAAAAGAAACAAGGAACATAAAAATATATATATATAGAAAAATAGAAAAAAAAAGAAAAAAAAATAAAATAGGAAAGGAGAGAAAGATGAGGTGGAAAAATAAATGAAAATTTATTTGAAAATATTTATAATAGCTTATGAGTACACTTAATTAATTTGATAGCATTCGTTATGAATGTTATGATTTCAAGAGTATTTACCTATAATTAAATTATTTATTATCTAGATTAGCGTTATGTAGTTAGTGTTGCATCATTGTCTACAAGTGAAAGTAGCATTTAGATTGAGTGTTCCAGTTGAAGTCAGTATTGCTGTTAACATTATTGTAGATCATTCATTTATATGTAATGAATTGCGGTTCATGTTATCAACTTAAAATTCAAAATATGCATGTTACAATTAACATCACAAGCAAATTCTACTCACCCAGGGGGAAACGGTTAATGTCTATAAATAAATTTTCGATTTAAAAGTTAGCGGAGAAAAACAAGTTTGAATAATCGGTCAAAAGTTAATTAAACTCTCATAGTGAAATTTTTAAAGTAATTGAAGTTGAAATTGTATGAGAATTTATTTTTTTAAAGATATTTTCTGAATGCTAAAATGTTAATTTTTTAAATTGTATTTTGGCTGAATCCATTTTTTTTAAATTCGTCATTAAAGTTTTTAATTTTACTTATAAAGTTGTTTAGTTTGTTGTTAATTCTGTAGTATCTTAAAAATTGTCCAAAATAGATAACTTTGGTGCAATTTTTTGATATATTTGAATTCTGAAACACCAATAACATACTGATAAAGCACAATTTGGATTATATATTATAAACACAAGGTAACAGGACCGAGTCCGAGTGAATGAGTGGTATGTGAAATTTCGGTAGCGACGTTGTGGCCCTCTTAAGACTTGTCTGAAGATTGTAACGACGCTGATGCCGAAACGTCGCACATTGTTTATTTGTTTGGATTTGTTCTTTTCACCTCTGTTTACCAATACCATACCTTTATTTCTGTGTTTTATCTAATTCTTACTTTGTTTGATCCTTTAAATTTATACGATAACTTTAGAATATTTTTTTTTATCTCCTTATAGCATACATAACAATTATCTTTTATTATATATATCTTATATATATATAAATATATTATATATCTTTTATATAACAATTATTCAGACAAGGGACTTAAGTCTTTGTCTGATGAAGCTGATTTTTCCATTTATGGTATGACGCACATTCTTAACTTGTTTGAATTTAATCGTACTTTCTTGTAGTTCCAATTAATCCTTATCCTCTCTTACTACTAATATCTTATTATTTTCCCGCAGTCCTATTATTTAGAGTGTATGAACTCAATTTGGACTGTAATCTGAACCTACCAACATCAGACAAAGTTTATTTTTCTATGTTCTTTAATGTTAGATTTCCTGTTCCCTTGTCGACGCACATTGTTAAGGGCTTGGGATATGATATTTTTTTCCTATATTTATGATAATCATTTTGTTGAAAAAGGAAGGAAGATACGAGAGGGCACTGAACACCGGAGGATTTTATTAAACCGATCACGGTAAGATAACACAACTAACTACTAACCAAGACATCCATCCATATATACACCGCAACACACCACAGAGTAACCGGTCACTGGTCAAAACAATTATATCATGAAATCCGAGAGAATTGCCATTTTAACACTTCCTCTCAATTCATCAGATTTCTACATTCCAAATCCAGTGACGTGTTTTTCATACAGAAACCTTGGTAGGCCTTTAGTAAGGATGTCGGCAACATTTTCTTGGGTTGGTGTGTGGACGACCTCGACAAGTCCATCGCTGCAAATGCTTCTGATGTAATGCCATTTGATGTCAATATGCTTAGTTCTGGCATGATAAACCGGATTTCTCGCCAGCTGTTGAGCACCCTGGTTATCCGTCTTCAGAACAGTCGGTCCATTCAGCAATTCACCAAATCCCATCTCGTCCAACAGCGCTCTAAGGTAGACTGCCTCCTTTCCTGCTTCACAAAGTGCGATGTACTCAGATTCTGTGCTCGAAAGAGTGACAGTCTGCTGCTTCTTCGATTCCCAGGCTATTGGACCTCTTGCCAAAAAATAAACAATTCCCGTATGAGATTTTCTATCCACGAGGTTTCCACC